AGTCTTAATGTCAAAGGAAATAGTCCAGAGGAAACCATCCCTGCAGCTTTGGATAGCAGCAATATCAATCCTATTGTTTAAACTAATATTTAAATCCTTGAGTAATGAGGGGAAGCTGAGTGCTTTTCATTCTTTCCTTTTTTTTCTATATTCTTTTCTTCTTGGTGTCTGGCTATAGTCGCTGCTTGTAGAGATTCTAGGAAGAAGGCAGGAGCGGTACAGTGCTAACAGAAAAAGATGATAAGGAGAATGTAGCATGAATCTTAAATGGTCTTATTAATAAAATCAAACCTGAAGCAGGTATTGGGGTGAATGCTGGAAGATCAGAGAAGCAGAACAAGCCACAGCCACCTCACTCTGCCAATTCCTCAGCTGATCCTGTTTCCTCAGACTGGAAGCCTCTGTGTCCTCATGCGGAATAGATCTCAGCTGAACTGCTTCTCGGAAGCCTGAAAGCTTAACCTGCACTAGTTCCTGGTCCTCGAGCCTTATATACCTTTCTGCTTTCTACAGATTAAAGGCTCACTTCCTGGGATTAAAAGCGTGAGTCACCATGCCTGGCTATTTCCAGTGTGGCCTTGAACTCACAGAGATCCAGACAGAGTTCTGCCTCTGGAATGCTAGGATTAAAGGTGTGAGTGCCACCATTTTCTAGCCTCTGTATCGAGTGGCTGTTCTGTTCTCTGACCCCAGATAAGTTTATTAGGGTGCACAATATTTTGGGGAACACAACACCACCACAGGAGGAGGGGATGGCTTCATTAATTATATATCACTGTAAGCTTAAAATAGCATATTCACTTTTTTAAATGCACAAGTTTAAAGAGGGGGAAAAAGCAAAGAGTCAGCACTGACTTATCAGCTCCCAAGTGTTTGCACTATCTCATCGAATCTTCGCATTGATTGCACAAGACGTTCCATTGGATTAGACGGGTCATCTTGTGATGACAAAGTTCAGTGGTTTAAAACAGCAAGGCTGATAGAGCAGGCGATTCTCAAAGGCATTGGCCATCCATAGCACTATAGCTGTGTACTTCATCATGCTAACACATACTTCTTAGATTGTTCCAGAAATGAAGAGTAGTTGCAAACTCTCCCAAGCCAATGCATCTTCCAGAACTGATATGTTACTTCTATTCGTCACTCATGGCTCAAACAAATGCATAAGCTCGAAAAGGAAGAGAATGCACAGCTCATAGGAGGAGAGTTACAGATACTGACAAGCAGTCTTGTTTGCCCCTAAAAGGCAATTTCCCTTTTTGAAGATGAGAATGTGAGATTCTGGAAGACATGGACATCTGAGACAAACTCATGTTCCCCTTTAATAAGCTGTTGGGATACACATCCCCCAAATCTTTTTTCTTTTGTATCTTGTTGCTTCACATACATTCACTTTTACATTCACATTAATGCAACACACAAAACAAATACATTACTTCCCTGGGGAGCAGTGAAGGTTGTAACTCATATCAAGGTTGGATCAGTGTCCCAGTTTTGGATGAGACACTGATACTGCATCATGTAGTTCCTTTACTGATATTGAGATAAATATTTTCAATTTCATAGTCCTATTTTGTTTTGTTTGCTTTGCTGTTCCAAAGTCCTTTAGCACTCATGAGGCCGTCAGGAAGCTCTGTGTGCACTTCCAGCCCAGTAAAACCATGGCATGTAGTTCAAAGAGAGGACACCAATTAAGCTAAGAACATTTTCCAGATTCAAGAGAGCCTCTGCATTTAGAGCATGGTCTATGGATCAGTGGAGATAGTAGTTCAAAGGGACCAGTCAGTTTCGTAAAATAAGCACCTTGGTTACCCATTAAATTTGCCTTTGTAAATAGAGCAGAGCCAGCTTCTCTTTGATCTTTGGAAGACAGTTCAGCATGCTATACATAGCACAGAGATGAAAGCAGATGAGGCTGCTTAATGTGAAATACACCACCGAGTGATATACAGCTTTGAAACTGCTGGGAGAGGCACACGTCGTTTGTAAGTAATATCCTTGTTTTGTAGTATTTTCATAGGGCGGTTGACATTAATTTCAGGGTTTTAAAGATTCATATAAATAAACAATGGGCACTGCAGGGAAAGTTATAAAACATGAGTCATAAATATGATCAATGGTCCATAATCGCCTGCATGTACCTATTTCCTTCCTTTAAAATTACATCTTACACTCACGTTATTTCATAAAAGGTCCTTTGTCAATCTCTCTGATGCTCAGGACAATGATTTTTTTTAATTTAATAGAAATGCTTCAATGACATACATTTGATTTTTTTTTTCACTAGCTGGTTGGAACGGCTCGTGTTTGTGTTGGTAGGGGATGGTGTGTTTGAAATAGAAAATAAAACACATTGTACTTTCTATCTCAATGACCAACTACTTGCTCCTGGTAACTTGTGTCTGAGGCATATCTCCCCTCCAAATGTCAAATTTTATCTTAGTTTTTAATGGCTGCAAGGCAAGGTCATTAAAGGTCTTCTCATATCTAGTTTTTTCTTTATTCTGTGTTTTGCCATTTTAGTACAGAATTTAAATCTAAAGGAATAAATCCCTGTTGGATTGGATTTTAACAAAGGTACGAGATGACATAGGGAGGGGCCTGGGTGGGATACAGTAACCGGTTTCCGCCCTCACTTATTTCACCCTGTAGAATTTCTTGCGAACAAATACACATGATATGTGAAATCATCTTACTTTAACCTTTTCTAATGTTTGCTTCAAAAATCCTTATTTTTAAAAGGGCTAAGTTATCTCCAAAGTCTGAGTTTTCAGTATTTACCAGATTACATTTTCTTTAATAAAAATTTTAAAGTGCCTACTTTTCAACTGTTTTTTATTTCCAATAAAATAATTTTATTTATTTTCAATAAACAATATCTTCTGTATTTCACTTAAAATTTATTTTTCAATAATGCTTATACTTGACAGTATGTCTTCATGTTTTAAAAATAAGTTTTGATATCTTTAAAAATTAGAAGAAAATTGGTTATAGACAAATACACAATTATGTAATGATATCTTAGATGCATATATGACCAAACACATGATGACTACACAAAGATACTCTGTTCAAATCTTTGGCAGCTACATGGAAGTGGTAGTTTGTTACAGCAATAAAAGAAAAATAATAAAGATTTTGGCACCAGGAATGCATTTGCACCTGTCCAACACATATCAGGTGTGTGTGTGTGTGTGTGTGTGTGTGTGTGTGTGTGTGTGTGTGCACGCACTGAGGACTGAATCTAGATTGGGTGCTCTTTCACTGAGCTACAGCTTCAGCCCATTTCATAAACTAGAGAAAATAAGTGTGAAGGAACTCAGTTTAATAATAAGAAATCTGAAAATGTAGGTTGCATACACAATTTTGCTTAATAACTTTTTATATGTATAATTTATATCTCCTTTTTAATGAAAATAGCTTTATTGATTTTCTCATTACACTGATAATAGAAGAACATTAACACAGGAGAAAAACCCCAAGCATAATCCAGTCCAAATTCATTTCAACTATTGTGAATTTCACCATTTTAAAACATCTGCAGTTAGCATTTTGATGATTTTTATGGAAATTGGAAATATATTCTATTCTTATACCAAATCATTATTTCAAGATAATACTAGACTTGTAATGACTTTAAATCAAGATTATAACACTTCTGACCTATACTTAATGTTGCCAGAAACAAGTCCAGGATGACCAATTAAATTTGAATTTTGAATAAGCAATGAATACTTTATTTTTGGTCAGTCCCTCTTGGACATACTAAATAGAAAAGAATATGGTTTATCCACTATTCAAATTTAATCAGGTACCCTACGTTTTTATTTTCTATGTGTAGCATGCTTCCAATATGATTTGGCTACCTTAACTAAGAACAGGTGATTGAACATACAGTTAGATGTTCTGAGCACATGTTGGCTTGACAATGTTGGGCAATGCCTATAAAAAGTAAGAGCCTCATACTTATCAATTCTCAGATACATTTTTTTCATATTTAACATGATTAAATTACAATCAGTGGCATTTTCTAATGTTGGTTGGACAGAATAGATTTGTATTTTATTGCCCACAGAAGCTTGTTATCACCACTAGTATTGAAGGCAACATATAGCCATAAATGTGTTTGTTAATCAGCAAACCATTCCAGGAGCATTTGGAGGAAAGACTGTAACTACTGCTGCTAGATATAGCCATGTTTTTGATGTGTTTCATTAGGATCTAGGATGTGCAATTATCAAATCTGAAGAAAAGATATATGGTTTGGAAGAAAACCTTGGATCTTTTCTTGGAAATGCTGCAGCCTCAATGTTATTGGTGGTACAGAGACAAGGTGTGTAGAACAGCATCAATGCCAATAACGTCAGGTCAAAAAGTGGCTGAATATAGTTAAACTCCAAGTGAGAAATACTACTTGGACTACTTTAAGTGCTTTGTTTTCTATTTGCTGTAGACAGTAGAGAGACATGGTAGAATCTGACCAAAATTAATCTGGGAGGACCTTTAGTTAGCATACGATGGTAAGTCTTAACCCCCATCTTTAAGAAGGTCATCACAGAATCAGGCAGATGTTCAGTGCTTAAGAGCACTTGCTTCTCTTGCAGAGGAACCAAGTTTGGTTCCCATTAGCTACATAGTGGCCGATAACCACACATAGCTTCAGGTCCAGGGATCCGGACACCTCCTTTTGACCTTCTGGGCACCACGCATTTATATGGCGCACATATATGCTTGCTGGCAAAACACTTATCCACATAAATAAATAAATACATACATAAATAAAAAAACAAACAAACATAAACAAATTACCTGGGAACAAAGGTTAATTGTGGAGTAGTAGCCCAGCATGCACCTGTCTGTGGGTTTGTTTCCCAGTACTTCTAAAACTCACAGGGAAGCAAGCAAATAAACCAACAAGTCACATGAGATTGTCATATTTTAATTGACAAAGTTTCATGTTCCCTAACGGAACATAAACTAATGTTCTATGCAATACTTACTAGGAAGTGAGCTGGAGACACAGCTTGATTGATAGAGTCCTTGCCTAGTCTGCAGGAAGCCCCAGATTGGATCCTAGCACTGCATGATCTGAATATGGTAGAAAACATATGTAACATCAGCAATTGGAAGAGGAGATGACGGAAGCCAGAAGATCAGACAGTCATGGTCATTCTCAGTTACATAGCAAGTTCAAAGCCAGCCTCAGATACACAAAAATCTGTCTCAAAACAATCAGACAAATATTAAAGAATCACACTATCAGTAGATCAATAAGAAGTTAGAGTAGATGAAACACAGTATTTGTTAATGATTTGTTAAAAGTGATGTTGAGTTTTGAAAAATATGTAACTCTCGTTATGGCTTTCATAAACCTAATTGATAATGGAATTATGTTTTATGTAACATAATTTACTCTTTAGAAGTAGTTTTCAGTGGGACTTCATTATGGAGACAATGTCATACATGGCCATTTTTGTCATTGTTATGCTGGGATCTCATAATAGGGTCAATGTTAAGAAGGAATTGGTGCTGAATAGAAACTAAAATAGTGATCCTTTTTTTCTTCATTGTCCATTAGTTTAGCTAATCTGCTTGTTACCTTTCTTTGAAATTATAATTTAATTGTAGCATTTCTCCATTCCCTGTCTTCGCTCCAAACCCTCCCATAATGCCTTCCTAATCTCCTTTACATTCATGGGGTCTTTGTTCATGAATTACTGTATGTACATATGTATATACCTATATATTCCGAAATATAACCTGTTCAGTCCATATAATGTTATTTGTATATTTGTTTTCAGGGCTGACCATTTGGAACTGGACAGCCAATTGGTGTGCTCCAGCCTTCCTCTGTAGTTGCCTAGAATTGCTTGTTATCTTTATCCAGGAATTACTGGTTCCACAGTGGGTAGATTTAGGAAACCAGTAGGTAATATTGAAATAGATGTTTCAAAACCAGTTCAATAATAAAACATTTTTTTGCAATTTCTGCTGACAAGTAAAGAAATAAATGGAAGGAATACATAAAAGTCAAACTTTAAATGAAATAATTTTAGTAACAAATATGTAATTTCATTTCTTGTATCCCGTATCCCCTCCCAGTTAGAGCATGTTCTAGCAATGATGAGGACACAGGAACAGGTAGGACAGATGTAAGGAAAAGCCTTGAACCAGCAGCTAGAGCATTTATAATGAAGTCCTGGCTGATGAGTAGTACACCATGTCTTCTCTCTCCTCTGATTATTCTCTGCAGTAAGCCTCTTAGCACTTCTACTGTGACTTTGTCGGGGCACTTGGAGGGAGTTTCCATTCCTGATTTTGGAACTGAGGGGATTTGAGAAACAGACAATGGATCCTAGAAGAGACAAAAAAGAAGCTGAGCAGCTTCTAGGCCCGCTAAACTTGACATCAGTTTGAGATAAAGTATTAATGGAACCTGAAAACACTGCAGATGAGAACCCCAGTGGCGTGCATATACAGGCAGCATCCATCTTGACTCCTGTGGCAGGAAGCAGTGCACAGCTTCTCCCTGGTCCCTTAGCAGAACTCACTCTTTCTTCCTCCTTCCCTGCTTCCCTCCTCTCTTTCTACTTCTTTCCTCCTCTCCCTGTCTCCATCCTTCCCTCTTCCCTTCCTGGCACCCCTCCCCCCATATCTAGAAGGCAACCTCCCCACAGGATGGACACAGACGTTTCGATCTTCTCGGCTCCCTTGTGTTCAGGAGCCTAGCTTTGGAGGTAGTAGATGAGATTGAACAATTACACTAGTAATATTTAGTTTAATGCACTGGGAAAGGATTATCAACTTCACTTCTTTTCATAGCCAAAGCTTTGTCTTTTATCCATTCTTCATCAATAATAAAGCGGGTATTGTGAGCTTCATCTACTTGACTCCATATTTGCTTTCTAGTGTCCAGAACTTGCTGAGAAGGAAGGGGTGTTACCTATCTGGCTCCTTTCAATCCTGACATAAGTTATCTCAGGTTGATGTCATTAATTACCCAATCATATTCTTACCTTCTCTTCTTTTGATCCCATGTTATCAAGAAGCCCTAGAATGGTAACCTTAGTCTTTATAAGGCTTATTTCTAGGAAAATAACGTGTGCAGCAGATTTTAAGTATCTGGTCTCTTTGGTATTTATATTACTCCTTGTGAATTAACAAATAGCCATTTGATTTGATACTTCTCTTTTTATTAACCTGAGCCTGGTTAATATGTATCTCCCACAAGAGAAAGGTCAAGCCACAAGATAATCTTGACATTTTTATGCCAAACAGGTAAAGTTATATGCTTTATCACTTTATCTGATATGCTTTTAATATCAGGAAGAGTTTCATTATTTGACTACTGAGAGAAAAATGTATGATTTCTTTACATTCAAATATGTTCATCCTGAGGTGTAAATTATATTTACTTACCTCAAGAACTGGGAAAAATAAAATCAAAATCAGAGATATGGTTATTTGGTTGAAAGTTAATAGACTATAAACTGACTTGAAATTGGATAGTGATATGATTCATTTATAATATATATGAGTCATGTCAGCATTTTCTCTTTTTAGTTTTGAAGTTCTTATTACAACGTACTATAATCAATTTAAAGGGCTCACAATGTTTTCATGTCATAGAAAAGATACAGTCTTGTCTTAGGGCTATCCTCCAATTATTGAGAAGCTTAGAAAATTATGGTGTGGGGGGACGGCTCAGTGCATAAAGAGCTGGGCTTGAGTTTGGATACCCAGCACCCATGTGAAAGCTGGTGCCACCTATAAACCCAGCTAAGAAGGGCTGAGGTAAAGGGGATCCTTGGAGTCCACTGGCCAGCTGGCCTAGCTAATGAGTGAATCCTAGGTTCAGTGAGAGAACCTGTCTATGAAACAAAGTGGATTCCCACAAATAGACCAAACTACACAACTGTCACACATATGTAGAGGGCCTAGGTCGATCCCATGAAGACTTCCTAGCTGTCGGTCCAGAGCCTGTGAGCTCCTATGAGCCCTGGTTAGTTGTTTCTGTGGGTTCCCTTGTGATGACTTTGACCCCCACTGGCTCATACAATCCTTCCTCCCTCTCTTCACCTATTGGTGGGACTCCTAGCAGTGGTATGTGAGCCTGTCCCTCATGCTTGAGCTGGCTTTTGAGAACCTATTCTCCATACTGGGTTGCCTTGCTCAGCCTTAATACAAAGGGAAGAGCTTAGTCCCACCTCAACATGATATGCCATGCTCTGTTGACATCCATGGGAGGCCTGCCCCTTTCTGAACAGAAACAGAGGAGAAGTGGATGGGAGGACAGAGGGGAGGCGGGAGGAGGGAATAGGAGGAGAGGAGGGAGGAGAAACTACAGTTGGGAGGTAAAGTAAATGAAAAAACTTTATAATAATAAAAAAGAAAGAAAACAAAGTGGAGCGAGATAGAGGAGTGCAGCCAACATTTCCTTCTGGCCTCCACATAATGTGTACCTACATACACCCGTGCGCACTCATGCCATACACCACACACACACACACACACACACACACACACACACACACACACACACAAATAATTTTGTGAGTTTTTCTTTGTGGAAAAGGTTATTGTCAATGGTAGGCTTTTGTAACAGTGTCTTGCTATTCAGTCTAGACCAATGGTTCTCAGCATGTGGGTCATGACCCACATATCAGATGCCCTGCATATCAGATATTGACATTAAAATTCATAACAATAGCAAAATTACAGTTTTGAAGTAGCAATGAAATAATTTTGTGGTTGGAGGTCACAACAACATGAGGAACTGTGGTAAAGGGACCCAGCATTAGCAATGTTGGGAACTACTATTAGATTGTTCTCACACTCATGATCTTTCTACACTAGCCTCCCTAGTGTTAGGTATCACAGTGAGCTTCAAAATGCATTTTTTCATGTCTAGGAAGATGTAGACTTCACTTTAGAAAGGTTCAAGGGAATCAAAATACAATATAAATTTTCCATTAATGTGTACATGTTTGCTATAAGAAATGGCTTGTGGGTTAAGAGCACTTACTGATCTTGGAGAAGTCCGATGTTCAGTTCCCAAAACTCACCTGGCAGCTCACAACAATCTCTAACTCCAATCCAAGGGAATCCAGTACCTTTTTCTGGTCTCCATAGGCACATGTACTTGGGCACATTAACTGATACAGGCACATTTGAGTGCGTGCACACACACACACACACACACACACACACAAATCATATTTAAAACCCACATTTACTTTCAGTGATAATTACATATTCCAAAAGTTCCCAAGCAAGTCAACTTTGGTAATAATGAAGATGACTTTGTACCTTTATTAATATAATTGACCTAACTTCTTAATGACCTTCTAAGACATTTAGAAGGTTTTTCCATGTCTCTGGGCCTAGCATGATGTATGGATAGATGGCTAGATATGAACAAGCAGACCTTGTGAATTCCAGGTGAACCTTATGCTCATTTTCAGAACTTGAACAAGATAAGAATCTTTAAACTCCTACTTTTCTAATTGGGTGATAACACATTATAGTGGTGTAGTAAAGTTTTAAAGTATTACATCAAAAAGCTTGTTTCACAGCTGACTCAGTGGATAACAGATGACATTTGTTTTTGTTTTCACACCAGAGCATCTAGCATGCTAGAAAGATGTGAACCACTGAACCACATCCCTAGTTCGGACATGATTCTGATGAGTGTATATAAACTGAGATGAGTAAGGGTTAATTTATTGCAGAGGAATGAGTGTGTGTGTGTGTGTGTGTGTGTGTGTGTGTGTGTGTGTGTGTGTGTGTGCAGAACCAGCTGCCTTGACAGCACTCTGTTGCAGTGAATCATGGCTGGCTGCCAGACAGAGGCTCCAAAGCCTCTTGTGCAAAGTTAGGTGATGAGCTGCATAGTATAAATGATATCATGCTGAAGCCCTGACTTCAGATTTCGTGGGGTAGGAGGCCCACACAAACTCCCAGAGAGCTCATACTCATTACAGTCAGAAAAGTCTGTAAGCCCAACAATTATCCATATGGCCTTTTGGGATGTTTACTTAATTCTTTAGGATTTCTTCCCTTCATCAACTATGTTCCCAGGTATTTTG